GATTGCATTTTTTCGCAGTCCATCATTACCAATTGCAATTATTAGTAGATCATTTATTCAGACTGTGATTATTATTGATTGTAGTTATTACCAATCTGTCATTGACAATACCAATTGTAATATGACAATACCATTTGGGTAGAAAGATGATTGGACTATACTGTGTTGAACATTGACTCATCCATTCATTTTGAGTGGAACATCCGCTCATAGGAACAGTAGTTGCAAAGTGGGTCACACGCATTTCAACACAAACAACGGTAATCGCTACTATTGTATTATTAATCCATGTGATTAACAGTTTCTTCCCTAATTGTTTATTCCAATGTTTTCCTTGTAATATTATTGTTGTAACCTAGGGAAGGTTACTGAAGAATCAAATGAAGGTTGGTAATGGACGATAATACTTAGGACAAGAACAACACATATAAGATTTGCCAGTGGCACGTAGAAGTAGTCAACTGCTAGAAGTGAGTCAAGTGAATTCTATAATGAATCAACAACTGCAGGATATCTACTAACCCCACTCCCACATGATCAGATGTGGCACAAGGCCGAATTTAATGTGGGTTATCCGAGCCCATAGGCTTTGCCAAAAATTCCCCGTATAAAATGAGGTTGGGTAGCTGTTTCCTGAGACAAGACTCTGCCTTTTGACATAGCCTCGTCTGGAGATCCAGCTGCCTCTGAGCAGAGAGTTGGACCAGCACAGCAGGAGACAAATCTCCAAATGCAGACCAACATACAGTATTTACTACTGTATTTATGTGAATAGGAACATACCCATTATTGTCCGTAGGTATGCTACAACAATTATTAATCAGAACTATGAACTTATATGAGAATTATAGCAATAACAATTGCAATTATTACCAGGTTATCATTAAGTGTCTATTACCACTACAACTGCAATTATTAGCATTCTATCATCACAAGGGTAATTATTAACACTCTTCTAACCAACTGAAATTATTCCCAGTCTATCATTACTAATTGCAATTTTTACCAATGTACAATTGCAACATTTACCAGTCACTAATTGTAATTATTGTCAGATTATCAATATCAATTGCAATAAAAGATTTATCAGTGCCAATTGTAATTATGCCAGTTTATTATTTCCACTTGCAATTATTTCCAGTTTACTCTCAGGGGTATCATTTATAACAAGCCTATGATCAATTACAATTATTACCAGGCCACATTATCAATTGCAATTATTAACAATTATCATTGATTACAATTATTACCTGTGTGCCACCACAGATTGTGATTTTTATCATCTATCCTTTTTGACTGCAATTATCATCAGTTACAATTACCAATCATTACCAATAGCAATTATTGTACGACTATCAATAATAATTGCAATTATTACCATTCTACCATTAACAATTACAATTATTACAAGAGTATCTGACACAGTTGAAATTATTACCAGTCTATCATTGTCTATTGCACTTAGCAGTCTATAATACCAGTTGCAATTATTGTCTACTTATACTGACTGCTGCGATTATTGCAAGTCTGTTATTATCAATTGCAATTGTTAAACTATCAATAATTACAAATCTATCATTATCAATTCTCACTGATTTCAATTATTAACAATGTATCATCAATTGCAATTATTACTAGTCAGTTATTACTAATTATTATTATCAGACAATCAATACCAATTGCAATAATCAAAAAAAATTATCATTGTGAATTGAAATTATTGCCTATTATTAAAGGTTACAATTATTATCAAGCTGTCATCACCTATTACAATTAACAGACTGTCGTCAACAATTGCATTTATTAATATTATTGAATGGCTAGCAATACTCTTTCACTGTCAAAATGGTTAAATGTAGCCGCCTCTTCTACTCCAATAGCTTCTTATTTTGCACTTCCTGTGTAAGTCCCTTCTTTTTATTTGCTTCCCTGATAGCTATAATCTCCAACTATTCAAATGCAATGTCAATCAACATCATCAGATGCCTTGACATAATTCCACGTCCTTCTCGTCATCCTTTCCTCTATCACACCTCTTTACTCTTGCTGCCATTCTCTGTAACCCCTTGTGTGCTAGTGGTACTCCCACCTTGCTTTGGGTGAAAAGCTTAAAAACAAAAAAATCTATAGACATTCGATTATCGATTTGATGGTATATTCTGCCATTACCATTTTAAATAATTATTGTGAAATCCTTATTAATGTTAATTATTACCAGTCACTGATCGCAATTATTACTAGTCCCTCATTACAAATAACAATTTTCATAAGACTATCAATACCAATTGCAATTATTACCAGTCTATCAATACTGACTGCATTTAGTACTTATCACCAATTGCATTACCAATCCAACATTACCTGTTGCAATGATTACTAGTCTATTTTTAAAGACTGCAATTATTACTGATCTCTTTTTATTGATTTAAATTCCTACCCATCTGTCACTTCCAATTGCAAATTATTACCAATAATCGCTGTCTGCAATTATTTTCAGCTAATCACCAATTGCAAATATTACCATTCCATCATTATCAATTGCAATTATTACCAGTCTATCAAACAACTGCATTACCATTTTACCATCAGCAATTGCAATTTTTACCATTCCATAATCCCTAATTGCAATTATTACCAGTATATCATCACCAATTGTAAATATTATAAGTGTATTTATACTAACTGCATTCAATTCTGTTATTATTGATTTTAATGTAATTCACTCTGTTTTATCATTATTAACTGCTATTATTATCAATCCCTTGTTATCAGTTACAATTGCAGTCTTTGACATCAATAAATTCAGTGCAGGAAAATTCATTGGCCATCACTATAGAGAAATTATTGTTTGTCAAATTTTTTTTGTGTCAACCATTTTTGTTAGAAATAAATCAAGACTTAATTTCACCCAGCACAAGGGTCAAGATACATGTGCTATACATTTTAGTTGTTGTTCTTGAAAGTCCTGAAGTGATGTTGTTTGTTATTTGGTACAGTTCTTGTGATTTTACACACACACACACACATATATATATATAAGCCGATGAAAGAAATTTATATCTGTCTTGCCTGTAAATTTTATACTACCAGCCTGACCTGCAAAATTTACTGGTATTTTGCAGGCCAGCCAGATATAAAATTTAAAGGGCAGACTGACATTGTAAATTTTGCAGGCCAGACTAGTATTATAAAATTGCAGGCCCAGCAGATATAACATTTGCTGGCCTGACTAGTATTATAAAATTTACAGGCCAGACACTTATTATAAAATTTACAGGCTAAATTTTATAATAACCTGCTTTTATGATATCCCATTTGGCCTGATGTTCTGCTTATAAGCAGTAATTTGAACTTTGCTAACCAGTTTTCTGTGGCTGAATGGTTAACAGCATGTCAGGCCAAATGACAGTTTCTGTATGGGATACAGGTTTGATTCTTGCTGGAGAATGCATATTTTCTAAAAAATTTCTTGAATATTCAGGCTGGTAAATGTTATTAACGCTATTTAATTAAAAACAGAGAATTGGCTGAAATAAGTTGTATCCATGAAAATAATGTATAAACAGAAAATATATTAAAATATTTGTCGGATTTAATCCATTTCATATACATACATACATACATACATACATACATACAGGGGGTCCTTGGTTTATGACAGAATTCCATACGCATGTGTTGCAACATGATTTTTCGTGAATAAGGACTTACATCACCCACCTATACTAAAGCAATAGTAAAGTAATAATCTCGGACATAACATATTTCTATGACATATTTTAACATGAGTAGGACTAAAAAGGGCATACAGAGGACATAAATATCATAAACATAATGAAATTAAATTGTTTTAAGATGCTTGTATATTTATTGCCAATGATGTCATTGGCTCTCGGTAGACAAGATGACAAAGGGTAAGATCTTATCTCTCTTGCAGTACTCGGAAACACCACCAATTCTGGGGAAGAAAGAAAAACAAACATGAGTTTGTTTTTCTTTTTTTATTGGGAATTCACCAACTTATAGTTTAACAAGAAAATATCCGTCTCTCTTACAGGGAAACTCAATACCTATACACATATGTACATGATTTAAGCGACAGTCGAACAACTTAAGCTCAGCGGCACTCACAAGGCTCATTGAAGACTAAAGAAACAGTGGAAACCAGCAAGTGATCTATTTGACAAGTTTGAGTAAATAAATGGTAAAACAAGTACCCAAAAGTCAAAGATTGAGTCACTCATTTTTTATGGATTATCAACCCTTTGCAGGTTATTTAAAGCCAGAAAAAATTTCTTTTTCTAGATTGTAAAAATTTTATTTTTTTGAGCAAATGATTTGCTGATACAAGTTTTACTAATTAACCCATATATGGGGGGAAAGGTGAATTTGTACCTTTCTCAAAGGTGTTTGCATGTAAGTGAATATGACAAACCCAACTGGAATTGGAACTCACTTCTCTGATTAACAATTCAGAGCCATTATCCATTACACCATCCAATCTTACAGCATCTGATATTCCCAAGTGGTCACCCATCTAAGTACGGACTAGGCTTGATGATGTTTAATTTTGGTGATTGTACAGGAACCAGTATTTCAATGTGATGTGGCCATAAACCCAGAAATGTAAAGATTTTTCTTTTTACAATGATGTTCACCCCTGTACAAGGCCCAAGGACAACTCAGAGGGTTACAGAGTAAGAGGCACAGTTTCTGCAGATGTGGTGAAGGTTGACCCTAGACTTGAACAGGTTAAGATTGTTGTGATCAAGAAAACATCTTCTTTGGAGTTGGTTCCACAGAGCAGCTGTTCACAAGAAAAAGCTGCTCAAGTGGAACTTACATGTTCAGGTCCCTATTTTGACTGTTTAAATACATTAATTCAGGAATAAAAATGAATTCTAAAATCAGATATTATTTTCCGAACCCAACTGGAATTGGAACTCTTCTCCAATTAACAATTCTGAGCCATTATCCATTACACCACCCACACATCCAAGCTTACAGCAGCTGGTATTCCCAAGCGGTCACCCATCTGGGTACTGACTAGGCTTGATGTTGCTTAATTTCAGTGATCATACAGGAATTGGTGTTCCAATGTGATGTGGCCATAAGCCTGAAAGACAAAGTGGGGGTTGTAAATGAGTAGAAATTACTTAGGAAATGGTGGAGAGCCATGATCACCCACTTCCTGAAGAAAGCCAAGAACTCAATAATTAGAAAGTTAAACAGTGGAGAAATAACAATCTTTAATGATCTTTTTTAACATCTTGTAGCAGTTTGTTTTTATGGTTTATCAACCTTTTGAAGGTTATTTAAAGCCAGAAAATATTGTTTTAGATTTTAAGAATTTTTTTTTTAGATAATAGTTTAGTGATATAAGTCTTACTAATTAACCCATATGTGGAGGGAGAAAAGGTGGATTCATACTTTTTACAAGGGTATTTGCATGTAAGTAAATATAATAAACCCAACGTGAATTTTGATCTTAACTTTCCAATTAACAAATGCAAGTCATATCTATTACATCACTCACACACCCAAGCTTACAGTATTCCCAAGTGGTCACCCATCTAGGTACTGACCAGGTTCAATGGTGCTTAACTTCACTAATCCCATGGGAACTGGTGTTGTAACAGACTTGGTAAACAATTATTGTCTTTAGGCGTCAAAGACTGGAACAAGTAAAGAAAGGAAAAAAATCAAAAGATTTTCTTTGTTTTTTTATTAGACGATAGAACATTTTTTTTTTTTTGAGAATTGCAACGTCAAAAACAATTTATATTGGTTGGATGAAAGGTCAATTGAAAAATGTTCTGGCATTTAATAGAACAAAACTCCAAGATGACCAGACATTGGCTTTGAGAAAAAAAAAAGAAAAGAAAAAAAAAAAAGAAACATTTTGTACAGAATTTTTAATGAATTTATAAGTGAAAGCCTCAGTTTTTTTTTTTATTTTCTCCCAATATACGGATTGAGGTAATATTCTGAACTTCTTTAAACTAACAATTTCTAAAAACTACTATTTTAGTTAGTTTTAGCTTTACCAAAATGAAGTCCTTAACCCAGTCGTTTGGAGGGACACTTTAATGACCTACATCTTGGCTGTTCATCATGAGAGAATGTTAAGTTTAAATATAGTTATATTTACTAAGGATAGTCTGGCACAAGGCCAAATCTTTGTGTATGTGGGGGATTGGTGAGGGAAGAATGTATAGTATAGCGCCAATCTTCGGAGTTGAAGAAAGCTGCTTTGAAAATCAGTCATGAAATCTAGATCTAGGCACAACTTTCTCAGCCAACAAGTGGGCTTAAGCTACAAAGTTATATTGTTATCATCAGGCTGTCATTGTGGGACTGACAAATTTTGTCACCCTGAGAAAATCTACAACCACTCACGAATTAGGCACGGCAAGAATCTCAAAGAAGAATTGGTAGGTAAAAGTTATTTAGGGAAGGATTTCAACAACTTTGGCTACAGACAAGATCACTTATGGATTTGAAGGGATTTAACACAGGTTGGCCATCATTGATCCGGCAGTCAGTAATCTGGCTGTGATTTGCATGAGAATTTCAGATTTTGCGGGTTGCCACATGGATCTGCCACTACTGTTTGGTGGCGCTTGATGTGGCATCAGCTGTTTTTTTTTTTTTAAACATTTTCGAACACTGGTGAATTATTTCTACTTGTCTTTTGTGCATCTTTATTACAATGTGTCGACATTTAGCTCCAGTTGTGTCTCCAATGAATACAGAAAAGTGTTACTCATGAAGAGCAAACAAAATATGTTCTCCATAACATTTAAAGCAAAACCCGCTTTTCATTTTTTTTTCCCCCTTTAGTAACAAACATGTACCGAGTCATAGGGTATTTTAAAGGTAGAATCAAGTTAGCTGCTGGATTAAGCATATTGTAACGTAACCCTCTGTAACTCGACAAAATGACATCATAGAAATCCAAATGATGCCGGATTAGTGAATGTCAACCTGTAATATTTTGTTTTCAGCACCAAATAAATAAAGTTTTTTTGGTGTTTTTTTTGTTTGTTTTTTCTTAAATGTGGTTAGTAGTGACTTCTACGCAGTAATCTTCCATTTCAAGAATCGTCTCTTCTTGTAGTTGCCATCATAACAATTCTAGCCATGCGTAATAGTAGTCGTCATAATAAATGTGCCCATTATAGTCGGTACACTTGAAAGTGTGCCAAGGAACACTGGAAATAAGATTGGATGAATTGGAAATTTGAAGAAGACTTCAGACAGTACAGATCACAGTGCTACTGAGATCTGTGAAAATACTGAAAAAAATGATGGAGATTTGGGGAGACTTTGATCACTCAACTCCCAGCAATGACCACCGGACCCCTGGTGTGAACGCATGAATAATAATAATAATAATAATAATAATAATAATAGTAGTAATAATATTATTAATGATTTCTTTCCGATTCTTTAAATTCGGCTCACATCAAAAATGACTTATCCAGAACAAAAAAAAAATAGTTATAATTTTGTCATTTTTTTTTAATACTTTACAATTTCTGTTTTCCGGATTCAAGCAACAAGTTTCTTACTTCTCATTTGGTAAGGCACAAGGCCAAGTGTGATGTTAGGAAGATTGTGTAGCATTAATCTTCCAATTAGCATTTGAAATTAGACTTATGGCATTGGTGGGATCTGCCAAGAGTGAGTCTTTGTTTTCGGTATCTTATTACCCAGTGTGTTGCGGGTCAAAGTTTCTGTGTTAAAAGTATGATGAATGAAAAAAGTCACTTTTATTGTTTTTTTATAAATCCCTACATGAAACTATAAATAAAAAAAAATGGTTAAAAATATTCTTTTTTTTCTCTTTAATTTAAAAAAATGCAAAAATCTTAAAATTGGCAGGCAGCTGCTCCTGCTTGTAAAAGACAAAAAGGAAGAACACAAAAGATGATGAAGACAAGTTACGGTCATTGGTAGTTGAGTAGTTAGGTTGAGAAACCAAAATGATCAAGACTTTTTTTTTTTTTTTATTTGTTTTTAAATAAGTCGCACCACCTCCACAGTTTCGATTTTAATAATAGACAATTTTAAGAGCAAAGTCCTTTTTTTTTTGTTTATTATGTGTTGTCTGGTCAGTTGGTTTGTATAGCCTGAAGTTCCATTCCTCTTTTGGTTTTTTTTCCTCCTCTCTACTAATTTGTGACTGTGGTAGACATTTTTTTTTTTTTTAGTAATTTTTAGCTTTCAGTAATGGTCTTTTAGAGAAAAAAGCACTTTTTAAAAATTTTTTTTCCACCTTCAAACAAAAAAACCCCTGCATTTTCTCTTCCTTGCTCCAATTGTCCAACTGTAGGGGGGTGAAGAGTTCAGGAGGGGGAGGAGGAAGGGTCTTGGCAAGCAGAAATGGAGATTTTATTTTTATTTAAAGGCGGGGTCAAATGGGCAGTCAAATATAAACTAGGGGGGAATGAGAGGGAGACAAACAGATACAAACAAGGGGGAGAATGAGAGAGAGAGAGATAGGAATGGTGAGGATTGTAGAAGAGATAAGTGAGGCTGTTGTAATGGGGGGAGCAGAGACTTTAACTGTTGCTCAGAGAGAGAGACAATCAAATACAAATGGGGGGGATAAGACAGAGAGGGAGGGAGAGAGAAAGAGAGAGAGCTAGGAGTGGTGAGGATCCGTGGAAGAGATAAGTGAGGCTGTTGCTGGGCAGAGACTCGTTAACTGTTGTCGAGAGGGAGACAGTTTATAGCAGAATTCTCCAGTCTGAAAGAATATTCATACTGAAAAAAAAAAAAAAAAAAAAAAAGGAATACAAATCAATACTCAACAAATACACAATTTAATATCTGGAAGCCAAATAATCATTGACAAACATCCAGTAAGGTGCATTAGAGAACAATTAAATTTCTGTTTATATTTCTGAGATTAGGTATTGTAACTATTTACATTGTTTGGACTGTTGTCCTCATCTTCATTGTCATATTCATGATGTTTCAACTGTTGTACACTCCGGCCTTCTTCAGATGATATACATTGGAATTTTGAAACCGCAAACTTTATTTTTCCCCCCACTGGGGTAGATTGTTTTAGTTCCACATGGCATGCCTTTGCTGAATATCTCAGTTTTCAGTTAATTCCCTTCAGTAACTCAACTCGAAGTTTTATTTTTTGTTCACCTGTGGCCAAGTATTGAACTCTCAACTCTTATGGTCAAGTCACTGGATTACTTCAACCATTGTTTTTATCCACTGAACAATCTACCCAAGTGGACAAAATAAAGGGTTAGGTTTGAAATTCCAATGTATATCACTTGAAGAAGACTGCCGCTGAAACGTTTGTTAATATGATAGCAACAGTACAAACGATGTAAATAGTGTAATTAGTTACAATTATTAAATTTGTTCTTCACCTGGGAAGAAAAATGAACCCCAACAAAATATTGCAACCCAAAACAAGAGAAAACAATTAAGAATCATATAAAAAAAAAAAATCCATAACTGTATTTTTCAGTTTGATGTCATCTAATGGTGGTTTATAAAAGCATGTCGTGTGAGACATGTGTGACTGTTTAACATTATAATAATATAAAAGAAAAAAAACAAAACAATCTAAACTTTATAATTATTTATTGCCTATGAACTTTGACACCATTAGGTTAGTAAAAATATTTAAGCCCTAATTTAAAAGAATATAAAAAAATTAAATATTTAATCCTAATTTTAATGAGGCATTATCTTGAGAGACAGATTGATAGGTAGCAAAAGCATTTGCTCTCTGTTAGTACCATGATTCTTCTACTTTGTGTGTCATGTCCCCTCAGGACATAGGCGATCATGGCTCTCCACAACTTCTTGTCCCTTACAGCTCTTAATAAACTTTGTCTTTCTGTTATTTCTCCTAAACCCTGTTCCGGCATCCATTTACACAAGCTCATTAACTACGTCATGCATTGTCTTTCTCTGTTCCTTTTGCCCTCTATCTGTCCTGTGAGTATTAGATTTTCCAAGCCCTCCTTCCTCAATATATGCCCTAGAAACCTCAACTATCTCATCCTGATGTTAAGTATTAGTTTCCTTCTTGTTTCCATTTTCTCCAGAATTTGTTACTCACATATTCGGTTCACAGTATCCTCAGCATCCTTCTGTAGAACCACATTTCTGTTGCTTCAAGTCTCCTCTTCATCTTTGAAGAAGATCGTCCAGCACTCACTACCATACAGGAGAACAGATATCATATAGCAGTTTAGTACTTTTTTCCTAGTTTCTAGCAAAATTTTCCGATTTCCTGGCCCACTATCCCAAAAGTTGGTTTTCCTTCATAATTTATAAAGTCATAATTCAAATTTTCATGATGAGTCAAATAACTTTTTGAATACCTCAGTCAATTAACTACGAGTTTCTGGTTTTAGTCATAAGATTTGTGTGATTTACAAGCACTTTTATTTGTTTACTGAAAATAAAATAAAACCAGTTTTTATATATTTACACTATTTACATTGTTCAGACTGTTGTCCTCATCTTTATTTTCACAGTCACAATGTTTTGGCCATTGTACACTCCGGCCTTCTTCAGGTGATATTTTTTTGTGCTTGTCGGTTTTCTCTTTATGGTTGAAAACAAGAAAATGGTAATAAATATAGCAATCAGACCAACATTTTATGTCATTTATCAATTCCTGACTATGTTGGCCTATTCATTCTTCAGCCTTCATCAGTATTAAAAGCCACATCAAAAGAGAGAGCTCATTCTTTCCAGTGAGTGTCTACCAATGTTCTTTTGATTGATCAGTTGTACAGAGAGAAGAGTGTAGACTTGCAGAAGGATGAAGAGAGAATCGGTTGAAATATAGCAATACTCTATATCATCAAAAGAAGAGTATAAATCATGTGTACAATCTACAGACTTGAAAAAGACTAACCTAAAATTATTCAAATTACGCTATAAATGTTTTAGGTTTTTTTTCGTTATAAAAGATGAAAATATCAAGATGGATCAAATGATTCTGGTGAAACAAATCAATCAGAGACTAGGAATATTGATTTTTTTAAGTGGTTTGACTGGAATATATTAATTTCCAAAGTACAAAAAAAGGTTAAAAAAAAAAAAGATAGGTGAAAAAAAAAAAAAAAATCAAAGTTTGAATAACTGCAAATATTTACTCACCTGTTGATCAAGGTCATACATAGTTTTGCAAATTATTTTAGGAATTGTAATCTGGAAAAAAAAAAAAAAAAAAAAAAATACAATGTATAATTATTTGTTACAACTTGCTATTTAAATTTAATATCTAGAGTCACAATATTTCATTGTCCTCAATTCTTTCCCTAACTAAAATTGTTACCCTGAAATTTGAACTTCTTCCCTTGGGAGTTAAGTAACTCATCTGTAAAATTGATAAGCATTAATGGTTGGTGCTATTTTTCATTTGCTTCATCATCCTGAGTATGATGATAAACTACATCCGGCAGCAATGCCCCTGATCAGAAGATTAGAAGTTTTGAGGAGCATGGAACCACCTCTTAATTGCTGTTAGCGATGGGCAAATAGTTAATCTCCAACCTGAGATCAAATATAGGGGTTCATTATTTGCCCATAACTGGGACACTAACAGGTGCTACTACCCCAGGTCAGAGCAGGCTTGGAAACAACAGCAATTAAGATGTTGTTCCATGCTCCTCAAAACCTCCAATCTCCTGATCAGAGGACTTGCTGTAGTTTATCGTCATACCCAGGATCAACTAATTGGCAAGAGATAATACCAGACATCTTTCTAGATACTCAAGAGTAAAACTGCAATAAATTTATAACAAGAAACAGACTAAGATGAAAAATGAGGCTTCTGCAGTGCCTGGTGTTCTGTAAACCTTAGGTACTGATATGTGCAAAAGGAATGAAACTGGAAACTCTTATTAATGGTAACTGTGTTGATAGTTGGAATCAGGTTTGAAATGCTAACAAATTGATAAAGCCAAACAGGTTGTCAGTAAGAAATTGGCATCATGATTAAGTTTGTTAACTACAAGAATCATAAAGCACACTGTGTCATGTCCCATCAAGATGTGGTCGATCATGGTTCTCCACAGCTTCCTATCATTTGTGACTTTTAGCAGTATTGCTCATTTAAGATGCTTTGTTGTACTTATTCCACCATCTGTTTGTTCAAACTTGTCAAGTAGTTTTTATCTCTTTTGCTCCCTCACGGCCCTCCACAGCTTCCCCCGTTTTGCTGCTTTCAGCAATACTTACTCCCTTAAGATCCCTCATCACTTTTATGATACTTATTCCACTATCCATTTGCCAAGACTCATCAAATAGGTTTCATTTTTCTCTCTTCAATCACGGTCCTTCACAGCTTCCTGTCTTTTGGTGAGATCTCTCATCATCTTTGTGGTACTTATTTTGCCATCTGTTTGTTCAAACCAGTCAAGTAGGCTATTCATTGCTTTCCTCTGCTTCTATTGTCTTAGATGCATCCTGTTAAATTCTTCAAGACTTTTTTTTCTCATATGTCCCAAAAGTGTTAGCAAGTTCCTTTTAATTCCTATTCTCCTTTGAACTTGTTCATTGATTGCATGGCCAATAGTCAATCATTATCCTTATAATCTCCACTTCTTTCATCATTACCATTTTAACAATATCCCTCTACCTTGAATGACTCAAGAACCTTGTATTAGGCAAATTTTAGTATTAAAAAGAAAAGGGGTATTTTCATTATTCATTGGTAAAACCACATTTTAGTTGCCTAAAGTCATTTTTTTCAAATATGATGAAATTGTCCAGAATTTAATGCTGCAGAGTAGGAGGATAAACACTGCTTAACACTGATTTTTTTTTTTATTTCCTCATTTTTGTTACCCCCCGCCCCTATAAGAAAAAGAAAGAAAAAAAATGATGTGATGATGCAAAAAATATTTAATTAAAAAAAAAGTTTGAAATATTAAAAGTTGAAAATAAATATAAAAAAAAAATGAAATATTAAAATTTTTTTTGTTATATATGCAAATTATATATATATATATATATATATATATATATATATATACACACATATATAAATGTTTATAATGTACCTTGTTTGTATTTATTGGCCCCCATAGAAAGGGGGAGAATTAGGGGAGGTAAAATGAGTGCACTTATCCATTAGATTTAGGAGTCTGTTGGTTTCAATCTCATTGGGGAATGACTACAAAACATTTTCCCCTTCCTCTTTTTATTGCCAGATGCACACAAATGCATGTTGGGACTTTTTCCTAGCCAATAAAACAGGTTGGTTCTTGGTTTCATCTGACTCAGTTCTGATCTATCTCGGCTTTATGTTCACTTGTCCAAACTTGCTTTTGTGTCAACTCTAATTCTTAGTTTGTGAACTTTTTGCCATATTATTTCAAAGCACTCTTTTCTTTGTTTCTAATGTTATTTTTTGATCTGTTAATACCTTACTTGGTTCTTGGAAATCTCTTGCTATTTCTATGTGCCTTCAAATTTCTGTGTCACACTCTCTATCAAGGACATGAAGCTTGAAACTCCCATTAAAACAAATATGGCCAAAGGTGGCATAGCCTAATAAATAACTACAAAACCATGAGATGGCATTCATTTGATTTTGATAATGGCTGGCTAATAAAAAGGAAACGACAATGATATTCCAGTTGAATAAAGAAAGAAACCATGAAACAATGGCTACAAAGTCAAAACAGCATCATTAAATAAAAATCCAAAATAGCAGGAAAAACCTTATCAAATTTACAAGCAGAAAGCAAAGATGTAGTTATACTTAAAAGGTAAGACTTGTTAGATTTTGTATGAAAATTAAGTGGATTTACATTTTGTAAGCGAGTGGCTTCTCTCAGTTGAGCATTCAGATGCCATGGAATACCCGACAAGGCTGAAAAGAAAAAGAAGTATTTAAATAACTGCATCAACAGATTAATCAATTTGAGGTGAAAGAAATTGTTTAACAACACTCACACACACTCATCCATGCACATATACATAAATTTTCAATGCCAAAATAAACACATTTTATTTATTTATTATTACTATTAATGTTGTATCTCTTGATATCAAGCTCTATAATTACAAAGACTGCTCGCCTTAAAAACATTATCTTCCAGAAATAGAGACAAGTGAACGTTTAATTTCATTTATTACTCAAAATGCTCTATCTCTTGATTCCAAGCTCTCTAATTACAAAGATTGCTCACTATGTTATCTTCCAGAAATTATATGAATTGATAGTTGAATTTAAGGTGTTTTTAACAAGGTTTGAAAAAAATAAATAAAAAAAGTTCAATGGCAACCCATCTGAATGAATCTAGTTCAGCAAGAATATTTAATTTTTATAAAATTCAAAAAAACTCTTTTCTGAATGAATGCTATTTATCATGTTTTAATTTAAAAAAGAAAAAAAAGTAAGATAAATTTAGGGAAGACATTAATCACATCCTGTTCAGCTCAAATGTATGTCAACAACATCATTAACCAAAATCAATCGGTATTTTGTTTGAAAATTTCTCTTAACAGTTTGAATCCTGTTGGATTTAGGGGAAAATGAGAACTGCTAAAAAAATTTTTTAACTTTTCATGAATATAGATCTAGAAAAGGAAATAATTTGGATAATTAGAATAGTATATTCAAATTGAAAATGAACAGACCAGGATTTTATAGTTATAGCTTCTAAGATTTGCAGTCTTTTTTTCAACTAATCTTATTGTATATGTATGTTATTTACAAGAGACAAAATCTTATTGCCAAGTGATATATATTTATTAGAAGCCCTATATTAAATCAGAAAATTAAAAACTAAAGTTCTTCAACACTGAAAGTGCAGTTTTAAATGTATTCAGCAACTGATGATATATTCAAACCAATAAAAAAATCTTCTTTGCCAGTTGCATCATCACAAAGTATAATGACCAATGGACAGTTTTAAATGTATTTGAATACAAGAGAAGGTATCTCCATAAATGTGGATCTTGAAAATAGCTGCAAGTATGACCAAAAGTGCTCAATTACAACCATTCAGACAATTTCTATATACACTCAACCGAAACATACACTTTAAATAGAAAAGATATTCTTTTTAATAAAAACATGTATGAATATCTAAAGACTTACGAGATTTTGTGACACTGACAAGTCTGTTAACAAGTGGTGGTTGATTGGACTCTGAAGAATGGTTAGCAGTTGGTCCTGCCGCTATTGCTGTTGGATTTAGGGAATAAGGAAGAGCATTCCCAACTGAAGACCTAAAGAAAGAAAAAAAAAGAAAAAAAAAAGAAGACATGCATAAAATATTCAATTATGCATGGACAATGTTAACAATGTGTCTCATGGTGTGGTCAAATCCTTTTGAAATGTCAGTACATATTACAACTACCTCTGAACACAAGGCATAAAGTAGAAAGATTACATTGAATCAATTGGTAGGATTGCTGCCAGGAAAATTGGTTCACTGTGTCGTGCTAGACAATTTTTCTCACCAGAATCTATCTTACATGTTTATAAGTCTACCTTTCATCTATACTTTGAATATTGCTGCCACATCTGGTCTGGTGCTTCTGCTACATATTTAGAGATTCTTGATAAAATGCAAAGAAGAATCTGCAATATTATTGGTCCTAACCTGGCATCTGAGCTTCAGTCACTTTCTCACCACTGCAACATAGCTTTTGTGCGGTTTTTCTATAGATACTATCATGGTAATTGTTCTGATGAAATTTCCTCTATTGTACCTAGACTTTATGAATTTAAGCACAGTACTAGATTGATGACAAGGTCTCATCATTTTACAGTTGAATTTTTTTCTTTTTTTAAACTTTTCACCCCAAGCAAAGCGGGAGTGCCACTAGAATGCAAGCAGTTACAGAAAGTGGGAGCAAGAGTAGAGTTGTGAAAGAGGAAAGGATGAAGAGAAGAATGGGGAATAGATGAAGGCATCTGGAGATGTTGATTGACATTGCATTTGAACAGTTGGAGTTTATAGCTATCAGGGAACCAAGTAAGAGGAAGGGAGTTCCACAGAGGGGAAGTGTGAGACATGAAGCTATTGGAGTAGAAGAGACAGCTATATTTAATCATTTTGACAGTAAAAGGGTGGGACTGAGATGCCAACCTAGTAGCACATTTAAATTCATGCAGTTTGGGAACTAGCAAAAATAGCTTGTTGGAGCAGTTACTGTGAAAGTATTTGTAGAAAAGACAGAGTGAGGTGACGGTACATCTGTGGGAGAGTAATTGTAAATGAGATGCCAGAAAAGGGCCAACCACATTGCATATCTGTCTCTGGATTTTGTCGAGGACCCTAAGATGAACAGCTCGGCTCCAGACCATATATGGCAGCAATATTCCATGCAAGGGCAAATGATTGATTTATAGATTTGAAGGATGGACTTGGGTGAGAAAAACTTTCTGACGTGACACAGAGAACCAAATTTCCTTGTGATAGATGAAGCTACTGATTCACTGTAATTGTTCCATCTCAGGTCAGCAGACAGTGTGAGACCAAGCAGTCGCAAAGAGGTGGAGTTGAACATCAGACATTCTAATGGGAGGCAAGGAGGGTTCTCTGTGGTGGGTATTAGAGAGCAGTTTTGTTTTTGAGGCATTAAAGTTTACCAGCTATTTCTTGCCTCAGTCAACAACCACTTGGCGGTCCTTTTTGAGACCAATGGCCAGGTTAGTTTTGTCAGTGATACCAGATTTGCTATTGAGGCAGAAGTAAATAGTGGTGTTGTCTGCATAGATGCCTACCTGGGAACTGATGACATCAGGAAAATTGTTAATGAAGATAAACATTTTTTTCTATCGCACTTCTCACTTGTGGAACTCTCTTCCAGATTTTTTATTTCTTTTCTTTCTTATTTTGTCTTACTTTTTTCCTTGTTTTTCTTTCTGCTTTCTTTTTCCTTTCTTTCTTTTTTCAGTCATTTGATTTTCAAAAATTTAAGGTTTAGTTTTCATTATCACACATCATTTTGTCTTAATTTCTATGGCTTCTTAAACATATTTCGGATTGTAAAAATAATTCTTTTTTTTGCAAGTGAATATTGTTTTAACAATTTCTTTTACAGTACAAGTCTAACAATTTAACCCATAGAATGGGAAGGTGAAGGATTTATACCTTTCCCAAGAGTATTTGTGCACATGAATGTAACCAACTCAACTGGAATTTGAACTCAGTTTTCTCATTTCTCATTCTGAGCTGCTATAAATTACACCAACCACACATCCTTAATTTTGTGGAAGTTTTTCATTTCTTAATTGCTTTTGATATTTTTAGACAATTAATTCTTCTTCAGCTGTTAAATCTGAATAGTTTTTTTAAAAATTTTGACTTGAGAAATAAAAGGAAAAGACATTGTGATATGTCCCGGAAAGGGATATATTTGTTCGAAGTGGCAAAGTGGTTGTTGACTACTGTAACTGGGTAGGACAATCTATGACTGGTCCTCATTGTAGTCAAAGACAATAGGTGTTGTCCATGTACCTCCACATCAGTCTGTATTTATGACTGACACCAGCCAATCATATTACTGTGAGGGAGAACCCAGGTGTATGCATATTCATTACATCACATTGTTTCTTCTATAAAACTTTTGTCGCTTGTACCTTGAAGTGAGATCAGTTTGACTGAATTAAACAAGAAAAAAAAAAAAAAAAAGAAAAAAGGTAAAAAGAAAGAAAAAAAACTCTAATACTTCAACATACCTATGAGATTAATACAAAAAAATAATAATATTTGAAGCTCAACATTTAATGGCAATATTGGAGACATGTTTCTACCACAGAATCACAAAACATTGTCTTACATTAATGACATCAAATAATTTTATGCCATTTGATGAGCCATGTTACTTACAATTGTAATTTTGAATTAAAAAAAAACAACACTGCAATAAAAGTAATATTTAATTTCTATATCTACAGATAAATTTAAAGTTTAATTTTAACTTTAGAAATTTATCATACTTTACTCAAAAATTACTGAAAGTAAAAAAGTACTGATGAACTAGTTTACTTTCAGTTATCCCATAATATTAGGTACTTCCTGCGAAAAGTTATACCTAATGTTAAAATGCAGGTAAAAATGAAAAATATTTCTTGAAGTTTCAATTTTAGTTTTAATTCTATGCAAACAGATTAAATTTAATAATCCTAATGATCAAAATACTTTGGTGTATTTGAAACCAAATTTAGATTGGAATCTTTTCTTTCTCAACTCATGAGTAAAATCTATAAGTTTGTCCATATTGACAAATCTGACAACACAAAATAATTTTTTTTTTTTTAAAAAAAGTGTTCCAAAAATGAAATATACCTTTCTGAAATGTTAATTGAAGAAGATTAGTTGATTTTAAAAAAATATTACTTACTTTTAGATTAAAAAAATAGTAGAAAATCATTTTTTTTTTACATGAAGGGATTGTTTTTTTTATGTGTTCATTGATTTATTCACAGCAAGATGTTAGGAGAAAATTAAGTTTGCAAAATTACTTAACAAATAGTAATACATTTTCTTTGTTTTACTTTTTTGAAAAATAAAATAATTTCAGATGGAAATAAAATAAAGAATAAAAGTAATTAAATTTTAAGCATTAAGTTCAAAGGTTGCGTTTAAATGTAAACCAAAAAATTATTTAATTAAAGTACATAAAAGCAATTAAAAACTTTTCAGATAAAAATGTCTTAGTTTCATTGCAGTTTTTATTTTACAATTCAGGGCAGATTTTCTACAACTGGGGACCCTATTTGACCAAAAGATTTTAATGATTTTAATTCTCTGAGGAGTTGTCCTTATAACAAATATAAACATTTTGAGCTACAAAAAAGAATTTCTCAGAATTATCATAAAATTAAATAACTGGGTGACAGGTAACAAATTAAAAATATTTTTTTTCATAAAGAACTTCTAAGAAATAGATGTTTTAAAGAATTTGTTTCAAAGAATTTCTGTAATAAGTCCTGAAAGTTTCATTAAAATTCAACAATTATGAAATCAGTACATCAAATCAATACATTTTTCACCACCAAACCAAAAAAGAAATATTCAAATTTCCCAAACAATTCCAATGTCTTGTATTGACAGAAAGAAAAAGACTGTTTTAACCAAAATTACCAAGGTTCTGTAAAAAATAGAAAAATAATTTTTGTATAAAAAAAATCCTTTACTTTTTCCTTTAATAATAAGATTGAGAAAAATTCATTTTTTTATTATGTTTTGGGCATTTTTTTCATCTATCATTATTTTTAAACAAATTTTGGAGAGGTACCTATATAATATTTTTGGTTTGCTAAACCAGTTTACTTTCATATATCCCATAATATTTTCTGCTTGTCACATTAAGAATTATAGAGTAAAAACAAATTTCTTTATACTTATGAATTCCAATAAAAAAAGTCAAGGAAAAAATTATTTTAGCATAATAAAATGAACAGCTTTCCTTGATTAAAAATGTCACTTTTAGTTTTTTTTATTATATTAAAAATATCCTGTTTTTGAACTCTTAAAACCCTTTATTTTGCAATCAACACCATCACTTGATATGATACCAGTAGTGTTGAAATAAAATTGCAACTTTTGTAGTGATGTTATAACATGCATATGTTATAATTTATAAATATATTTAAAATAGAGATGAATAAAATTAGCCAACAAGAGTTATTGACCCTGAGCGTCAGTTTTGATGCTTGGTTTGATAAAGTTTACAATATAAAAAATAATAATAATAAAAAAAAAGCTTTATTTCATATAACGATTAACTTTTTTGTATGAATTTGCATACTTTGTTTAGAGTGATTCATTTGAAGCTGAATTTTCTCCCTGATGTTAAAAAAAAAAAAAATATATATATATATATATATATATATAAAAAGAAGACAGAAAAGTTTTAACTTACATGCTTAACCTTGTTTCGGCTGTCCTTGAGGACGGTGCGTTTTGTGAGCAAAGGTCATCTGCTCCGACGTAAGTGGATTTGGACAAACCGACCATTTTGAAGCAAAGAAACATGTTATTTACATCACTGAAATTGAGAGAAAAAAAAAGTGGAGAAAATCAATTTCATACTTTTAGTGCAGAATTTGGGAGATTTACCTTTTAAAATTTTTTCCCATGATGTACTAAAATATATGATTAGATACTAAATATAGTTTACCAATACCGTACCCTGTCCAATAAAAAAAAAGAAAAAAGACGGCCATATTTAAGCAATACTACAATTACATTGTTTATATTTCCTGCATGAACAAAGGTAGGACTTTTGAGAATTAACTCTATTGTAGCATAAAATAAATAATTCTGCATTTGAAATCAGTAAAATGTAAAAGTATAAAAAGATAGCTAACACACACACATTTTAGTAAGTTGTTCTCACTACTTACTAATGAGGTATTCCATTCTTATAGTAACATAAGGAGGTTGTTTAATAGTGTTAAGTAATACCTTCTATTATCATTGCAATGGGATACCTCATCAGTAAATAGGGTTGAACAGGTTGTGTTCTACATTATGAATTAAATAATTGTTTGCACTCAGAAAAAAATAAAAAAAACAGCAGATGATTTGCACCTTTGGAAAATATAAATAAAAGCAGAATCATGTCAGAGGCATAAAATTATAAATTGTGATTTAAAAAAAAAAAAAAAAAAAAAAAAAAAAAAATTAACCAGAAATATTTGTGAATTTCAGCAAAATAAGTTTTAGCATCTAAAAAATTTAAATTCTAATTTAATTTCTGTAATAGAAATCATCAATTGATATGTAATTCTGCAAAATGACCAAATCATGAAGATTGATAATTCTTATCACGGGACATTATGATCAGTCTGAAAATATTAACTATTGTTCATCTCTACTGAAACACACCTCTCCAAGAAATAATAATTTTTTTCAGAATTTATTTTTATATTACTTTGTCAAGCTTTCCAAATTATGAATATCAAGAATATTTGTCTTTTAATTGTAAATTGATCCTGTCCGCAAAAAAAAAATAAAATAAATAAGAGGCTCCTGCCACCTGGTAAAGCATCTCTTATAAAATTTTAAATAATTTCATTTTAAAATAAAAAGTTATTTAAAGCAAATTCTTACCTTTTTCCAGTATTGTGTTAAAATAATGACTACAAACATAATTTCAAAACAGCCACAAAAGTTAATGAACTTAAATAATTCTTCCTTTTTTCCTTTATTATTTTTATTTTCTCTTACCTTTACTTTTGGGGTTCCTGTGTAGAGGAATAAATTTACATAAACTGAAACCCCACTTCTTAAAATTTAAAAAATTAAAATTGATAGGAGGGTGTGATGGTAAATTGTCACTATTTTGTATTTTTAATTTCATGCATGCACATTGTTTTGGATTTTGTCAACTGCACAGTATAGTAGGGTCAGTTGGGCACCATCTGTGAGAAAAAGAGCACCATGACATAATTCATTCCATCAGAAATTTGGAAACGGCACATTGTACTGCTTGGCATTCATGCCGAAATCTCCAATACAAACATTTCAAAGTGTTTGGGTGTCAATCTGAGAAAAGTGCAGAGGATTTGGAAAGAGTTGGATGAGTCTAATGGTGATTACAAAGGTATGGAAGATCAGAAAACTCACTCTGATCGTTCTGATAAGAACTCCTGAATTTGTTGGTTGGTTGGGGGGGGCTACATCAAGTGTCTTGAGGAGGCAGAGCTGCCCTGGGTCAAGAGGGTGGCTGCTGGAAGACCCTATGTCTGGCAACAGAACTCTGTACAATGCAAAACATGCAGAACCCAGTCATGGCTGTCAGGCAATTTCTGCAACCACATCATCCCTTACATCTGGCCACCTAACTCCCCAAACTGAAATCCTCTTGAATATTATATGTGGGGGTGCAGTTGAGCAAGAGGCCAAAAAAACTCCTTGTAGCACCAAATATGAACTGAAGGCAAGGATTATGGCAATATTCACCAACTTAAACACGAAGACTGCTCAGAAGAGATGCAGGAGATTCCGAAGTCTTCTGGAGGCTGTGGTTGAAGCCAATGGCGATTTTATTGAATAAATTTACTCTTTAGTATTTCAAGATATTTTTGTGTAAGTTTGGTTAATATATGTTAAAATGAGATGTCAGTGTTATTTTCATTTTTGCATAATTTAGACAACAATTTATCCATAGCACCATATATATATATATATATATATATAAAAAGTGTATTAGTAGATACTAATACTCATTAGTACAAATAATTAGCGGATAGTTGTATTTGAAACAGATACCCTATTTCTTGGAATAGGCTGATAGACTAGATGTAATATACATTGTTTAAAGTAAAAATAAAAATGGTGCATCTATTTCAAATATGAGAATCAACTATAATAACAGAACAAGCAATAAAAATGTTGAATTAAAAATAAATACACTAATTCATATATATATATATATATATATATATATATATATAGTTTATGGGAAAACTAGGTAATAAATTTGGGTAAACCTAATAGGATAAATATATATATATATATATATATATATATATATATTTAGTTTATGAAAACTAAGTAATCCGTATGGGTAAACCTAAGGAGGATAAATTTTATATATATATTTAGTTTATGAAAACTAAGTAATCCGTATGGGTAAACCTAAGGAGGATAAATATATATATATATATATATATATATATATATATATATATATATATATATATATATATAATTTTTATTCAAACAAGTAATATTGACAAGTTCTCTTTATCAAATTTCTGAATTAGTTGTTTTATGGTATTGGTAAATTTGACAAACTTCATGTTTATTTTCACTTTATATTATAATTGTATGGTCCCCTATGGAGAAAAATACATTATTTAATGTTGGCTGCTTCTCTCTTATTACAACAGCTTCAAGTTGAGTAATAAAAAAAAAAAATGTAGATTAAGTTACCTCCCTTACATTCATATTCTTAACAATTAATTTTTAAATTGGCTATAATGGAGTGTGTGTTCATAATTATAACAGAGCACATTTACAAAGAAAAAAAAAATCACAACTATCAATTACATTAATTTTTTTTGTCTTACCAATTCACGCCTGAAGATTATCTTGGATGAATACTTGGGAAAATAAAATAAAAGACGAAAACTACAGTGTCTTCCTTAATAAGTTTAACAACAACATTAAGAAATTGATCTGTGAATTTGAGAGGATTAAAATAAACAGACATAATATGTCTAGATTATTCAATCAAACATGCTTTAATGAAGATATGCTGCCTATATATATATTCATTTATTCAATAGTGATATGAAATGAAAGTTTGAAAAATTTATTATTTCTTGGGGAGGTGCATATCTATAGAAATGGCAACGATTGTATGTAGAAATTTTGGATACTTCAGTTTATTTGTTAATTTTGGTATTATTTCTATTGAATCCATTACATATTTTTTTGAGTACAGCATGTGGAAATTACCCATTTCTAATGAAATCAATAATTAAAAAAAAATCAATCACTTCAATTAAGCTATTTGCAGACTATTAAACATCATACATTAAACTATAATACAAAAAAGCGGGTTTGCACAGAAGCGAAAAAAATCAGAGTTCTCTCCCTTGAACTTTCGACCGCACCAAATTAATATTATAAAAGTGTTGATTCTCTATCCGTCATAATTTGTGTGACTTTACATGCGCATATGTAATGTATATATGTATGTGTGTGTGTGTGACTTACATATGCTTGTATCATTTAATGTACACACACATATGTATACAATTTGACTGAGTTTGAAATAAATTGTGTTATAATTTTTGACAAGTGAATTAAAATTATTTTTTTTAACTTTATATAAAAGTGACAAAAAACGTATTTACACTATTAGATTGTTTATTGGAATGGTTGGCAAAACACTGTTTAATGGCCATCAATTCAAACTTTATAAAATGGTAAATGTACAAACATTTTGAATTTAAGTGCAGTACTTGACTGGCATCAAGATCTCATCAATTTACAGTTGAGCTGGCTAGATGTAGACATAAGTTCTATGCTAACAGTTTCTTTTTCTTGCACTTCTAGCTTGTGGAATTCCCTTCTGAATCTATGATTTCCAGTTAACTTTAAAAAAAAAATTAAATGTAATGTCAATCGCTATCTGCTGTCCACCTGATTACTCTTTCTGCACATTATTAATGTTTCTGTTCCTAATTCTTCCAAACCCTGTATCCTCTTGTGTCTTAGTGGTGTTACTGCCTTGCAAGGAGGTGATACTGATTAAAAAAAAAGTTGGTTCACATATTTTAATAATTTGGTAAATGTTTATAAAATTATGAATAATAAATTGTTTTATTTCTTTATAAATTGGTAAATGATAAATATTGCATTAGTCTTAATACAAATTTATTAGTTTTTGAAAACTGTAATTATAAAATTATTCTTGTAAATAAACAATTTAATAAATAAAGTGTTTAATATTTTTGTTGCAAATTCTTAAGAATTTAAATGTTTGCTATGCAACTAGATTTAAATGTTGTTTTCTTTGACTATAATCATAATTCCTAATACATGCAATTACTTGTTTGTTTTATATTATTTTTTGTTACTCATTACTTGGACTCTCATATTGTTTGTGGGAAAAATTTTCTAGGAGCCCATAAGTATTTACTATCCAAAGTGTTGATTCTCACAACATAATGGTGACAAAATATTTATTATTAGCAGCCTGCAACATATTCTTGGAATTTTGAAACATTGATTAAGTGTAGCAATTTATCTGGTCGTCTTGAGTTCAATCCCTATGCCAATCAATGAAATACGTGAAGTAGCAAAAACAGCAACCCAAAGACAAATGAATGAGAACAGTCTACTCCTGTTGATTGAGTAAAGGGTTATTCGAGATTCCAAGAAAATTACTGAATTTACCATACATTTAAAGAAGGCTGGAAAATACAATGGCTGAAATGTGACTATAACAACCAAGGTGAGGATACTCATTTGAATTTATGGGAAATTCATCAGTAACCTGTCTATATGACAATGTCAATGAAAGAGAGACTTAAATTGAAGGGTTTCAAGTTTGGTGTAAAGATTGAGATGAAAATACTTAAAACAAAAACTAACCCAATAATGGTAAATCCAGTTGGTGATCTTCGCATTGCCTTACTAAGAAGAATCAGTTTTGAAATAGCAGCATTGGTCAACCGGTAACTCATCCAACGAAAGCACAAACTCTTCTTCTTGAGAGACTTTTCACCTAAAAAGAAACACCAAATATTAACATGAGAACGATAGGAATACATAACAAAATACACTTGGATAGAGATAACTGGAAATAAAGATGAATCAGCAATATTACTGGTCCTCACCTGGTGTATCGGTTTCAGTCACTTTCCCACTGTCGTAAGGTTGCTTCCTTGTGCCTTTTCCATAAATAATTTCATGGTAATAATTTGGATGAACTTACCTCTATGGTACCTAGACTTTATGAATTTAAGCGCAGATTAACTAGATTGGCAGCTGGGTCTCATCAATTTACAGTTGGAGTGGCTAGATGCAACCATAAGTTCTATGCTAACAGTTTTTTTACCTCATACTTCTTGCTTGAGGAATACTCTTCCGGCCCCATGATTTCTAGCTAACTTTGATCTTTCAATGTCAATCATTATCTACAGTCCTCATGATTATTCGTTTGTTTTGGCTCTTTAATAATGTTTCTCTTTTTTATTCTTTCACCCTCAGTAAACCTTTGTATCTTATTGGCTTTATTGTCTTGCATGGGATGAATTTGATTACCCCCCCCCAAAAAAAACAAACAAACAAAAAACAAAAATAACAGTGTTAAAACAAGGAATACACAAATGTGCAGATAAATACAGAGGCAGAGTGTGTGTTGCTGTGATAAATCATAAATTAATGACTGTAAACTGACCATCTGAGAGTTGTGTAGAAAATGACAAAAAAAAAAAAATGAAAGAAATACTAGATAAAAAGTTAATAATCTATACAAATAAAATGAAGTGTCTGTTGACCTGCGATTCAGTCAGAAACTATTGGATGGATTTTCAACTAAACTTGGCATGCAGATGGGCTATAACCTAGGGAGTGTCATAGGTGATGTGGTCAACTTTGAAGGTCATGAAAGTACAGAAATAAGGTAAATAAAGCCATTTTTCATGGGAGTTGAATATTTATTCCCATATCTAGTGGTAAGGGAGGTAATTTAGCTTTTAGTAGGAAATTAATACAGGGTTACTTCAACAAATAAAAGGCACCAATATTCAGAGAACTTATTTATTGCATCATTTTACTTACAATTATTGCTGCATGACCAAACAATAGTCAGTCTATTATTTAAACAAATGTCCCTTCAGGATGTTGACAGTCATGGCTCTCCATAACTTCCTGTTCTTTGTAGCTGTCAATAAATGTTGTTTTTTTGCCATCACTCCCAAGCCCTACTCTGCGATTCATTCACTTAAGCTCGCCAGGTAGGTTTATGCATTGTTTTCCTCTCTCTCTCTCTTGCCTTTGATCTGTCCTATGAGTATTAAATTTTCCAAGCTGTCTTTCTTCATTATGTGCCTTAGAAATTTCAAATGTCTTTTCCTGATTTTAAGTACCATTGTCCCTTTTGTTCCCATTGTTTCTAAAGCTGTAAATAATCAACAGAAACTTTTTACAGTCATCTGTCACTTACTGTCAACTAAAACCATCTTTTGGACCCTGGATCAGGGTTACACACTCGGTGCCCTATATTAAACCCAACCTTGTGTCACCGTGAGGAGATGAGTAAATACCTACATAAGTAGTGAAGAAATCATCCTAAGTAACGTGGTTAATCAAAACAAGTACCACATAATTTGTTGCGCAAATAAAATGAAGCATCTGTCTTTTTATTTAGAGAGTGAATTAGTTCCTGAGCAACACTGAGCATCTCTAATAATAATAATGTTAAGCATGTTTCTTTTTTTTCTAAATTTTACCTAATAAATGGTTCGAGAGCCACTCAAGGGAGAGCAATGATAATATTGTAGGGGGTGTGTGATATGAACACAAAAGAAGCTGATAGATTATGAAGATAAGGAGGGAAAGATGATGATTGACCCTTAACTTAAAGAGGTCACGATTGAAGTGTTCTGGGAAGCACACATGCAGGAGTTTGTTCCACGAAGTGGTAGTTCTGTCCAAGTGGAACTTACTTTTTACATTTTGAATATGGATGGTGATTTAATTTTGTGGAAGTGGCCTAGCTGTAAAGGTTTGAACTGGTGAAACTAAACAATGTATTGGTTTGGTTTGAGGAGATTTTGTTTAACTGCTTGTCAACCCTGATGAGTCATTTTATGCCAACCAGATGAATGCATATATCAAATATATTTTTCTTTTTTTTAGTAGTTGTAGGGACTCAGTTCGGTAGCTACAATTCATTTTAAACAGATTGCTTAATCTGTCAATTTGAACTGTTTAAACCAGTCCTTCCTACATACGCATGCATAAACAATTTTTAAAAGGAATTTAAAAGTCCTATTTCTTTTAGAAACCTTATTTATCTGGCCAGGGGTAACATCTTTAAACAAAGTTTTTATACTTGTGTCAATGTAGTAATTATTACATTTTAAGCTGATGGCTTTTACATTCAATCAGATTCTCTAGTTTGGTTTTGTTAGATTTCGTTTAATGGCATCTCAACTCTGATGGGTCATCTTATGCCAACCAGGTGAATACATATATATATATATATATATATATATATATATATATATACACACATATACTTGGAGAGGTTCAGTTTTGCAGTTACAATTTGTTTTAATTAGATTTCTTAATCTGTCAATTTAAATCCGTTTAAACAAGTTCTTATATAAACAATTTTTAACCCTTTGATCCTTGCGTTCCTGAACAATTTTAACCCTTCTGCCTGAGCTCCTGAGTCAAAATTTACAAATAATTGGTATGTAATGTTTCATGGTAGATATAAAAATAGTTACAAGTGTTTACCAACCCAACCAGTGGCTGGGCATTAAGTCATTTTTCTCTACCACCGTTCAACCGGTAGCTTGGCATTAAGTCATTTTTCTCTACCACTGGTAAAGCGTTGGTCAGGGCTCAAAGGTTTAAAGGAAATTAAAAATTCCTATTTCTTTTAGAAACCCTATTATCTGACCAGGGACAACATCTTTAAACAATGTTTTTATACTTGTGACATTGTAGTATTTATTATGACTAAACAACATTTGCCATGGAAATAGTAACCGAGTAGTGATAGGCTTGCAATGATGCATTTATGTGGGAGTGACAGTTGAAGAGTAGAAAAATAAGTCTTCACCCACAAGGTATTAATTAAATCAATATTAATTTGGCAAGAAATAAATTGCTAAACACAACTGAACCATTTCATGCAGAATCTTGACTTATTGGTTGGTTGATTTTGTTTAGCAGCATATCAACTGCTATGAGTTATTTAATGCTGAAATCTAAATATTTTGAATGCAATTTTATGCCTTGTACATAATTTTATACTTTCAGAATATATGTATGTCATTTAGACATATAGTTTGTAGACGACAAAATCTATTGCTGCTTATTATACCATAAAGATGTATTTTCATACTAGTTTTAGTGTTGTATTGATTGTCATTTTACTATAAAAATGCATTGTTGGTAATTTTACTATAAAAAATGTACTGTTTATTTTTCTTTCGAGGGTTCACTATTTTCCCATAGCTGGAACTCTAACAGGTATTACCACCCCAAGTTGTTTGTGGACCTGGGAACATCAGCAATTAACAGGTGGTTCCACGTTCCTCAAAACTTATAATCTCCTTGTTGCCAAAAGTAGTTTATCATCATACTCAGGATGATTCACTCATTGGACCCAGGAAAAAATTTTAAAGAATAATTTTGTTCATTACAGGAAAAATGTCACTATCACTTTCTTGTTATGCAGAAATAGATTCTATCGCAACAATTACTGGTACTACTGAGGGAAATTGCCCGCTTGTGAAAAAAAAAAAAAAATAGTGAAAATGTTTTTGTGTGAGTAATTTTTGTTGATTTGCATACATTCCTCTACCTGGGACATTTGTCTGAAATTAAAAATATTAATTCTTTATCATTTTAGCAGTGGGAGGGTGGGGTCTTGTTCATAAAATAAATACGGGTATGTCCCTGGTTTACAACAGTCTCAACCTACAACAATTTGTGGTTACAGGACATTCTCCATTAATCTTGTTTCAACTTATGCTGTTTTGCTCATCCATACAAACAGTATGGCAGAAAATTAAGTTTTTCTTTTTGCCTCAGATTTGGTGTTGTTTCTGAGTACTGCAAGAGAGACAAGATCTTACCCTTTTTCATCTCATCTACTGAGAACCAAAGACATTACTAGCAATAGATATACAAGCAGCATAAAACAATTTCATTATATATGTATTATATGTCCTCCATGTGTTTTTTAGTCCTAATTATGTTAACATATGTCATAGAAAAGTTTTTTTTTTTTTTTATCTCAGAGATTATTACTTTACTATTGCATTAGCATAAGTGAGTGACGTAAGTGCTTATTCAGAGAAAATTGTGGGTACATTCTGACTTATACTAAAAGTTGCATTACGATTCATTGTAGGAACAGAAGGAAGACCCTCCTGTATAGTGTCAATTCAATCCTGGATTTTTTTAAAGAGTAATCTTTATGCTGTTTTTATTTGCAAATGTCAAGTCTGAAGCTATGAGGTGAAAGGAATGATTAGAGATTTTGATAATTTCAGCTCCCCTGACTGTCCCCCACTTTTTTTCAATTACTCCTTCATAACCACTGACACTCATCCTTCAATTACCCAGACATGGTCCATCCCTCTCTCCACTCCGCTTTTGGAAAGGTTGGTCTAACCCCAATTGTGGAAAGGTGGTGAATTCTGCTTCAAGAGTACTTGTGCAAAAGTGAATATAACAAATCCGTCTGGAATTTGAACTCAGGTAAGCAATTTCTGTTTGTAATCCATTAACCATTGCACTACCTGAACTTTTATTAATTTTTATAATAACTTTTATTTAAATTTAAATGCATTGTCAATTGTTACCTTCTGTCTTCTATGCTAACAATTTCTTCTCTCACACTTCTGGAACTCTCTTCCAGTTTTTTTCTTTCCAATCAAATTTGATCTTCAAAAATTTAAATACAACATCAATTGTTATCTTCTGTCTTCTTGATTCCTGTTCTTTTATTGTTCACCCTGCTTAATAGTGATTTTTTTCTCATATTCTCTCGCACTCGGTAACCCCCTTGTGTCTTAGCGGCATTATTGCCTTGCTTGGGGAGAAATGATTAAAAAACAAAATTTTGCTCTGTAAGCAGTGAGTTGTTGTTTTCAGGATGCATGTACAGAGTGAAACATTGACAATAAAGAAATTTGAAACATCCAATTGGTTTTCACCAATTACCTCTTATATAATTTGTTTCATCTGTCAATTTATCATGAGTTACACACACTTTTCTACATCAGAAATCCACATTACACTTATTTTTTTTTTTTTTTTTTTTGCATAGAAAACAATTATTCAATGGTAAATAAAAAAATACTTTAATACTTAGAAAATACTGAACATAAATCTTTGGAAATTTTATAAGTACAAAGCAATTGTAGAATTATTTAAATGCTGCAATCATTTTTGGATGGTGCAAGTAGAGTCATACAATTACATTTTTGTAGGTTTAATGAGTTCAGGAAATTACCTTTTTGAAAACAATACTCAACAAGGTGTGATAATTTCACTTGTAGCAAGAATGAGTTCACAAATCATTTCTAGATAAAGATACTGCATTGCTTAAGTCAGGTTAACACCTCAGTTTCGTTTTGCAAAAGAAGTACAACATTAAATATAATGACTGCTACCAACAAGTGGGAAATGTACTCACGTGTATCGTCTGTTTGTTCAAGTACTGTGAAACCGGCTGGCACTGAATCTTTCTCATTGATAATTGCAACATCTACAAGTACATCTTCATCCTGGAATAAACAAACAAACAACAGGTGAGATACACGGGAAACACACGGTATGTGGTGGTGGGGGAGGGGAGGAAATAAATGGGGTAAATGAAAAATGTGGGAGATTACAGAAAAGATACAATGTACACATTCTCAGATAAAATGCCTGCAAAGGTGCCGGTGGTGGGGGAGGGGTAGAGTTGCTACTATTGGCTATTTTTTTACTGTTTGACAGACTCCTTTTTAAATGTGGAGAATATATTATTACTACTATATGTCATGTTTCTTCAGGATGCGGGTGACCATGGCTCTCTACAACTTCCTATCCATTAGTAACTCTTAGCATTGCCTTTTTTACAATTATTATTATTATTGTGCCATGCCCCTTCAGGATGTGGGTGATCATGGCTCTCTACAACTTCCTATCCATTTGTAACTCTTAGCATAGCTTTTTTTACAATTATTATTGTGCCATGCCCCTTCAGGATGTGGGTGACCATGGCTCTCTACAACTTCCTATCCATTTGTAACTCTTAGCATTGCCTTTTTTACAATTATTATTATTATTGTGCCATGCCCCTTCAGGATGTGGTGTCATGGCTCTCTACAACTTCCTATCCATTGGTAACTCTTAGCATACTTTTTTATCCATTTGTAACCCTTCAGGATTGATCATGGCTTTTACAATTTCCTATCCATTTGTATTCTGACTTTTTTACATTATTATTCATTTCAGGATGTGGGTGATCATGGCTCTCTACAACTTCCTATCCATTTGTAACTCTTAGCATTGTCTTTTTACTATCCCTCCCACTTCCCATTCTGACATTCATTTACACAAGCTTGGTAGGCAGGTTTTTAACAGTCCTCCTTGCTTCAATAGGTCCTGTGAGTGTTAACTTCTCCAAGCCCTCTTATCACATGTATCCCAGAAATTTCAACTATCTTTTTCTGATTGCAAATGTGCTTTTTGTTTCTATTTTCCTTAAAGTTTCTTCATAATCATTCACATGTTCTATGATATTCTCAGAATTGTCCTGTAGAATCACATCAATAATATTCTAAGTCTGATGCTGGAGCACAAAATCTTTTTGCATCTTGCATTATAAAATGCTCAAATATGGCTGACTTTATGAATTTTTGAGAGCTATTTACACTTGTCTTGATTTTTTCCATTTGCTTTTTATTACAACTTTTACTGAAACTGTTAATCTATGCAATGAGTAAAAAGTTTACATTTGTAAATAAAGGATCAACTTTTGGATGAACTTTGAACTCTTCTCTTTTGCCTCAGATGGTTCTGGTGAATGTCAGTAGCTTCAACTTGACAGCTTTGTAGAAGATCAAATTGAACTTATCACTCCATTTCATATCTCAGAATCATATTTGTCAGTTTTTATACAAGTAGTATTTATAGCAGCAGTATTATTTTAATACAGGAAGCATTTTTTAGTTCCTCTTCATTTCTACTTTATGCAGACTGTCAATCTGTGGTAGTGAATAGACAGTGTGGACTTGAGATAAAGATTTTTGCATGAAGAAAGTAAATATTTGTAAAATAATTAATAATAATGGTTGACAATGCTTCATCTAATAAAAATTGAAGATGAAAGTAAATCCTAGTCAAAAATTAATAACAATGGCTGACAATGCTTCATCTAATAAAATACACAGGACCTCAATCATTACCACTTTGACTGTAATTCCTTTACTTTGAGTGGCTCTTGAGCCTTGTGTTAGGTGAAATTTTGTAAAAGATTTATCTGTTGCTACCTTTACTACTTATAAACAGTTTTGCGAACTGAATCTTCCTTTGTAAGCATTAAAAACAGGCCTAAATTTTCTGCTTTTGTTTTTATTACTGCTAGGAAATTCAATACATGATAGGTATTTACACTATTTACATTATTTGTACTATTGTTCTCATCTTTGTTGGCATATTTATCAAGTTTCAGCTGCTGTACATTCCAGCCTTCTTCAGGTGGTTGGAATGTCAAACTGAACCCTTTATTCCGCTAGCTGGGGTACACTGATCTAGTTCCACGTGCCATGTCTAATGGATGTCAGTTATCAGTTGTTGAGGACACATGGCACAGTGGATAAAGGTGTTAGATAGAATGACATGATCTAAAGAGTGTGAGTTCAATAGTGGAGAACTTGGAGAGGGGAATTAACAGGAGATAACTGACAACTGACATCTATTAGACCTGGCATATGGAACTAGAACAGTCTACTCCAGTGAGCAAAATAAAGGGTTCAGTTCGAAATTCCAACTACCTGAAGAAGGCCGGAGCGTACAATGGCTGAAATGTTGTGATAAATATGGTGACAAAGATGAGGACAATAGTCCGAATAGTGTAAATAGTGTACATAACACCTCATCTCAGAAATATAGACAGATAATGATAGGTATTACTAGGGGTACCTTTGTTGGTGAATGGACAGTTGCATCCCTGGACATTTGCGTCCTAGACAAATGTGTCCCTGGGTAATTGTGTACCTCTGATAATTTTTTGAAGTTACCATTTTGTTTTTTTTTAAGAGTTGTTTTGTATAAAAATTTGCACACCAATACCTTTAATAACACTAATCAAGCAAAAGACTATTTACCATAAACAAAAAAAAAAGAGAGAAAAATTTCTTTTAAAGCAAGAGCAAATTAAGCTAGCAGCTACAGTTCATTACAGCAGTGTGTACCACAAACATCGAATAGATTCTGGATTTTATAGATTATATTTTTATTTGGAACCCATGGGTAAGTTCCGAAAATCAATCACTGGTGGAAAAAAATTTGTGGATGAGGAAAATTACAGCTACCACTATCATAAGAAAAATGCCAATGAAACAAAAACATACTGGCAATGTGTTGAGTGATCTTGCAACACTGTTAATCTGTCATTGCATTTTAAACAAAAAATAAACTTAAATTTTTAATTTAATTTTTTTTAAATTTATGATTACAACCTATGCTTTTTTTCAAAATTTATGGTAATTGCCTTTAAAAGCTTTGAAAAATTGTCAGAGGTGCACAATTATCCAGGGATGCATTTGTCCAGGGACTCAAATGTTCAGTATGCAACTGTCCTAGAACCAATTTTGTTCAACATGTAACTAGAAGGGAAAATAATGATATAATGAACATGTTGACTTTCCACACTATCTTAAATAAAAGGTTAGGAAGGAAAGTTCTATCATTATTTGAAAGAGCTAGAACATTGAGTGGACTCAAGAAGTCTGTTTTCCTGAAAAAACTTAAAAAAAAAAAAAAAAAAGATCTGTCTATATTTCTGAGATGAGGTATTGTAATTATTTACATCGTTTGGACCATTGTCCTCATCTTTATTGCCATATTCACAATGTTTTGCCTGTTGTATGCTACAGCCTCCTTCAGGTGATATACATCAGAATTTCAAACTGAAACCTTTATTTAGTCAACAGGGGTAGGTTGTTCTACTTCCACATGCCATGCCTTTTTGGAAATCTCAGTTTCAGTTATTTCCCTTTAGTATCTCGAGTGATCTAAAATATGACTTGACCCAAAGAGTTCTGAGTTCAATACCTGGCGACAGTAGAAGGAGCAAATACTTGGAGAGTTGAGTTACTAAAGAGAATTAACAGAAATTGAGATATCTAAAATAGGCACAGTACATGGAATTATTAGAACAATCTGCACCGTGATTGCAATTTGTAATAAATTAAAAATATTTTTTTTTAATATTTAAAAAATAATTTTAATATCTAAAATATTTTATAAATAAAATAATATAAATAAATAATAAAATAAATATAAATGAATAATTCATTGAATATTGTCATTTAGATACTTACCAATATGGTTGCTTGTCTCTATGAATCCCCCATGAGGATAGCATTCAAATGTATCTGTGTCTAAGAGTATTTTACTCTTTTAATCTCCGAGCTGTCATATATATTTTTAATTCTTTCGTCAAATGCCCGTACATTGTAAATCTTTATATTTTCAAATCTATGATTTTCTTTATTATTCTTGATACTGTGACGTATATATGCATATCTTTTTAGACTTGACAGGCTCCTGTTCTTTGCTCTGTGGAATTGATGAATTGAAAATATTTCTATTCTAAAAAAAAAAAAAAAAAACGTAAAAAAATAATAGATATAAACAAACCCACCGGCTTAGGATTCGCCTTCTTGTAGCATAAGTATCTGTAGCAACGACGTCCAAATATACTGTCTCTCCACAAATCAGCATCTTCTTTGCCATCCTCTGTTCGGTCAAGCTGGAATGTAAGAAAAAAAAATAAAAATTCAAGTTTAAAATATTTGGTTGCAGTTTTCAAGAAAACTTATTTTATATATTTTAATTTTAATATGTTAAAGATTTTGTTTTGACTTTGAGCATTACTCTTTTTAAAACTTCCAAATTTATAAATTTAGCCATTTTTAGATATTTTTAAACGTTTTTTTTTATGCTAATAAACAATTTAGCCATTCTTAGCCTCCTCTTCTGTAGGTTTTTCCTGCAAAGGGATCATAGGTCTAAATCATAACAGAGGACACATTCTTTTTAATAAGTTTACTCAAGTGTGCAGGCCAGTAGATATAAATATATACAATTTTAAATAAATAAGAAAGCAAAGTGTCTACTCACAAATATGGGAATTCACAAAAAAAAAAAAAAAAGTTTGAAATAATAAAAATATATAATCTTCAACTGATCAGTCTTTGAATCTTGCAAGTGAGCATCTTTTGAGCCAATTGTCAATGCTTCTTAATAGCTAGGCTCTCAAGTAGCATGCATACCATCTTAGCTGGCCTTGAACTGAGTATTAAATAAATATTGGTAGGACAGGAGCAGAGCATTGCCTTCAAAGTATGGTGAAACCTTCCAGAGTTTCTCATAACTGTGATTCTTTTAATTAGTTCGTTGTCATTGCAAAACGTAACCCAAGTGGAAATGATTTCTTTGCTGACTTGATTGCAAATAAACCAATAAAATTCATAAATTCTTCAGAATAAGGTTGGCAATTTAGAAATAGATTTCCAGACAACACAAATTGATTTCATTAATTGCTCTGCTTTCAAAGTGACACAGAAATTCAAAAGTTAAGAGGTTAGAGTCATAAATTCTTCATTGCAGCAATGCACGCACACACAGAGTATTTTTCAGTATATAAAAATTCACCACTACACAAAATGTAACCCTCAAAATCATTCCATGTTTTGCATGATAACAGTTAAGCTTAGTGTTAAGTTTTGGTTCCAATCCAAGTAGGAATGACTGTAAAAACATCCCCCTCCTCAAATTTATAAAAAAAAAAACAAAAAAACATACAGATTGTTATACCCCGAGTGATGAGGTGGGCTCGACTACACATGTATAAATGGGAGAACAGAACGTGAGACTAGAGAAAGACAGCAAAAGCCATGTTTAGCGGCCGTCTGAGACAATACAGTAGTAATCTGCAGCTGGACTTACTCTAAGAGTGAGGTGAAATCAACTAAGTAATAGACTCATTACAACACAGCTGATCTAACATGTTTCCCTTTTATTAAAGTGTTAAAGACTGAGTGATTAGGTGAACTCACCTGTATGTGTATAAATGTAAGAACAGAATGTAGGACTAGGGGAGACAGCAAAAGCCATAATTTAGCAGCTATCTGAGAAAATACAATAGTAATCTGCAGCTGGACTTACTCTAAGAGTGAACTGAACTCGACTAAGTAATAGACTCATTACAACACAGCTGCATGCTCGAGTTTCTTCCTAGTCAACAATATAGACCACTTTTTATTTTCATCTGCCAAATTCTTGTTCTTTCTTGCCTTGAAGTCAGAATGCTGTGATCACTTGTCTGTATCCCTTTTGTGTGTTAACACTATTCTTAGTTTGTGAACCTTTTTGCCTCATAACTGTTGCTTTGACTAATTTTGTCAATTCTGTTGGACATTTCTGCCAATTACTTTACAGTAAGAATCCATGATTATTTCCAGTAGACAGCAGGCCATATGGATAATGTTTGTGGATTTTTTGATTTCATGACCACCATCTCGGAATATAGTTATTTTCATATACTTAATGTCTGGCCATAGAAACAATGTATTCTTTTCCCCTATGTCTAAATCCTACTGATAAACGAGGACTGTTGACCTCAAATCATCAGCCTTCATTGAAGATATGCTAAATTTTGAAAACTCATAGAAAGACAATTTTTAAAAATTAAAATTGTACACAACCTTCTACCTGAGTAGATCAAAAGGCAATCAGTTTGCCAAACAAATACTTTTGCCTCCCATTTGTTTTTTCCCTGTTTTAAGATATTTGAATAAGGTTCTAATTGTAAATCGGAATAACGGCAAAACACTTTCCCCTCCCCAATTTATAGGTGGAACCACACAAATGCATGTTGGGATTTTTCCTAGCTAATAAGAGACTGAAACGGAGTCAGATGAGACCAAGACATGGCCTAAGTCAGAATGCTACGTTCGTTAATCCAAATCCCTCTTGTGTCAACACCAGTTCTTAGTTTTTGAACCTTTTTTGCCTTATTACTACTGTTGCTTTGCTTTACATATATTTTTTTGCCTTGTTCTTTTTTTTCTCTTGTTATTGCTTATTACAAACTTTGTCAATTCTGTTTGTTTGGCAGGTCTGCTGTTTACATTTAACCATGGCCATGTTCTCTACAAAGCTTTTTTTCTTCAAGACTAATTTTTTAAATTCTTGCTTAACAGTTGTTTCAGTTCAGCCAAAAGTGCCATGTAAAACAAAAGAAATTTCATGTGCTTAAAAAATAATCACATGATAAGACATAATTAAGTTATTTTACCCCCAAAAAAAAAAAAAGAAACTTTGATGGGGCACTAAATGGAAGAAATTGCCAAGACAGTTGACTGAATGAAGATCCACATTTACAGGGATTATTTTATGCAGTCTTCATTTTCTAAAAGGAACTTTCTTCCAATTTCCCTTTTCAACTTCTTTAATTTGTTTACAAATTTCAAGAATTATGCCCATGTCTTATCCTTAAACGGTAAACTAGTTTATTTCTAGGCAAGAAAAATGCACATGAAACACCTTTTTCTTGAGTCTAGCAGACGGCACTCTTCATCTGAGGAATCCATCATATTGCCTGTGATTGGTCAATGCAAGAACTGGTTTACATAAAGGCATTACTGATTGGTTTTATATACTGTATTTATCAGTTCTTTTTTAAACATTTATTCATATTTTGCAGCAGGAACACACTTGTGAAATTTGATAATTATTATATGTTTCACATAATTACTTTATTATTTAGATTCCCACCCTGTTGGGTGATTATAAGAGTAAAGAAATTGCCATGGTGATCCACATGTCCTTTAAGGAACTGCTTTCCTGATCAAACTACATTCATGAATAAATATATTGGACATACCACTACATGTCTAGCAAGAAGACTCACGTTACACCTCTCTGACCATAGTTCAATTAGGACTCATTTAAAAACACACAAAGAAGCCTAACAAATTCCATCTCAAACAGACTTGTAGAAAATACAAGTATAATAGCCTCATCCACATGTAAAAAAAGAACGACTAAAAATAATGGAAGCAATAATAATAAAAAAGAAGCCAACACAACAGCATCAACTATGAACATGGCCACAACATGCTGGCCATGTTTGGAAAATAAATAAAATATTTTCACACTCTAGAAACAAATATAAAAATCTACACATTTGGTTAAAAATAAAAAATAAAAAGCATCCTTGATAATGACTAATAGAATAGCTGAAAGTGCTCGGATATATAGAACATTCAGACAGTTTTTACACACTTTATGCCCAGAAAAGAATACAATGTATGAACACAAGAAGAATTAAACAAAAAGCTTAATCATATTACCTTGTCAATCATCTTTAATTAAACTTGTATAAAAGAGGGATTGCTACCTAAATACACATGCATATATATATATATATATATATATATATATATATAAAAAGGCAAAAACACTAATATTCCATGGTTATAATCTGATTATGATTCCAATGTAATAAATTATAACCATGGAATATTAATGTTTGAGCCTTTTTTATTATATTCTTACTTTGTCCTGGACATTGGGTTCTATCTGGATTCTATCCTCTTGAAATTTTTATATATATATATATATATATATATATATATATATATATATATATATATATATATATATATATATATATATATATAGCTTCAATCCTTATATTAAGCATTTCATCAGAAGGAGGAGAAACCAAGAACTTTCACTGCTATTTAATAAAACTTGCATCAGTATACCAACACACATCTAATCATGTAACTACAGCAACAATTTTTAACAATTTCACTGCTGTGTGCAATGATACTCAAATTTTTAATGCTGCCCTATTTGTCACTGTAATTGAATCTTATACAAATGTTCTGTTTGCTGGTCTGTACTTTCCACCTGCTGGGGAATTTTGCAGCTGTTACTCATTATTTTGATATCCAATTCAACAGTTTCTGCTATATTTTTCAACCGTATTGTAAACATGGAATCGTGGAAGGGTAAACAATATCAGTCACTTTGTAGAGAGTAAAATTGTAAGGACAGAAAAGGACAATCTATGCCAATGTGTCTTCTGCCCTGCTTTATGATATACTGCACAATCAATCAAAATAATAATAAAAATAGCAAAAAAGAAAGTTAACAGATTTTATTTAGGAATTTTTTTTATTGTTTTAACACCAATTCATAAAAATTACATTATTGTGACATTTTGTGTGTACTTTTTGAAACAGTCATACTTTGTTGGAAAATGTTGCAATAGGAGCTACAACACTAAGACACTATACGAGTGAATCAGAACACCAGCATAGAAATGGATGGTAAATTATTTTATATGAGTCTGAAGTGTTTGGTGTTTTTGATGACCAGCAGTAAAGTCTATGAAGTAGGATCTTCAAAATGGCTACCGATTTGACCAAAATGGAATACAATGAATAGATAGATAAATAACTTTTGGGAACAAGTGCCACTTAGCTGGAAGTCATGAATTTCCAGTCACAAGCTTATATTAACAGAACCACAGTTAGAATGGGTAGAGAGTTCCAGGTTTCCCATCGTGACATACGTTGCAGACTGCATATGTCATGATGTAACGATGGGTAGAAATGTGGTAAGAGAAAGTTCTCACTGGCTAAAGGGAAGAACTGATCTTTTAGACTGTTGTGATTGAAATAGTAGACGACTGTGCCAAGTGAATCCCTGAATAAGTAAATAATATATATTCGA